TCGGCCACAATTTTTTGTAATATTTATAACAAAACACTGAGTCACCCATTGGCACCCTTTTGCTTCGGTGCCTGTGGTGGTTGCCCCACTCTGCCCCTGTTTGCTACAGTACTGCCTGGCCAGCCCCTTCCCCGCCTAGGAGCCATGTGCCCAGCTCAGGGGCAACACACAGCAGCTCCTTCCTTTCCCATTCTGCCTCCCCATGCCAGGGCTGCTCCAATCCCTGCCCATGCCAGTGATGCCCAGCACCCCACTGCTCCAGCCCGGCCCCTCTGAGTGACAACCAGTGCCCCGCAGTCCTACTAGCCATGGTGCTGGCCCCAGCAGCTCCACTCCCTGCCCTGCCCAGGCCATGGGACAGTCACACACGCTGCCCTACCCCCTCTTCCTGCACTCCCTGCTCCAGCTCCACAGCCCTAGCACCACTCTCAGGACATGCACATGGGTGAAACACAAGCATTTTTTTTATTACCCTTAATACACCCATCCCCATTCCCCTTTCAACAAACACAACTCCCTCCCCCCACTCAACCAACAGAGCCCCTCCACCAGTAAAAAACCTGCTTACAAGTAGGAAACTATATACAAGGGGAAAACTATATAATATTTTGGGTCTTCAATCCCAGAGGGGGAGGGGGCCTAGGGGGCAAGGCCCTGGGGCAGGTGCCCAGCAGCCTAACCCCTGGATGTTCCCTGAGGTTAGGCTCAGGCTGGCCCCCTAGTGGCAGGGCAGACCCAGCACTAAAAGTTAGTGTCGGGTCCTATCTACACATGAATTAATGTGCATTAACTAATCGTGCCTAAATTTTATACCTGCATTTGCAGGTATAAAATTTAGGCTCGAGTAGCCTAAGTTAACGTGCATTAAGGGAGTGCACCCATAATGCGCATTATGTTTAATGCGCATTAGCCTAAGTTATCTCATGTAGATGTACACTATGAGTTTCATACAAAAATATTAAATATTTTTTAAAAGTGGGGTGCACAAACAACAGACTAAATCTTCACTCTAAGATGCAGTCAGGTAACCTGAAGAAACAATTGGATAAGAAGAAATCTCTTCGATTTCTATTAAGAAATCTGAAGAAATCTATTATTTCTAGGAACTACTGAAAAGTCTTTCCTTTAAAAAAGGTAAAAGGAAGCAACTGTTTTGTAACTCTTTTGGCTAGCCCACTTGCTTGTAAAAATTAAGCTGCAACATCGTTACATTTTGAGATGGCCATTAAAATGGCCACCATAGTTCTCAACAACAGGTTAGCTAAAGCCAGTTTGCCCATAAAAACAGGAGTTTCTGGACTGATTATTTTGCTTGGCATTCTGTCAACCATGCAGGATTAAAAAAAACCAGAACAAAGCTAAAGAATTCCAATTTAAACATGAAATTAGAAAATTAAGCTATAATATACAACATGTCCCAAGATGGTCAGTCACAAGTACAAACTGAAGTGCTGGACGTCCAAGTGTTCCTGTACAGAAAGAAAATTATCAGATGCTTGCTTCCCAAGATTACTACAAAACAGGCAGTAGCATCACATGCTGTAAAATTGTTAAAAATAAGAAAAAAAAAAAAAAAAGGTATATAGGTACATGAAGGTATTGCTCCGCAAACCCCTGTTAGCAAGGTCAAAGAGGCTTTGACAATAAAGGCTGGCAGACACCATATTATTGATTTACCCAGCTATCAAAAATTGAAACAGCTACTCAACCCTTGCATGCATATCAAATGAACTTGGACTTCTCTCTTATACACACCCTCCTGAAGATGTGCTCAATAAAAAAAAAAGGATTTTCGACAAGCATCTTAAGCTTTTTAATATAATATAATAGAATAGATAACTTAATATTTATATTCTATTGCTTCATGTCAGTACCATATATGTATCTAAACTAGAAGAGGGGGTAATCAGCAGAACTATACTTTGTTTTGAAAATCAGATTTTTGGTGTACACCCATCAAGCTTGGCTATCTTGCCCTTGAATGCACAATACAGTAATGTTAAACCAGATGGCTTTTTGACAGGAACAGTCAAGCTAAAATATTTTAGTGTAAGACATTTTTAATGAAATGTTTGGGTTTTTAATTACATGCCTTTATGCCAGATGCATTGAAATACAAGCACTTAATTTATGCAAAATACCCTGTTGCTAGAAACCACATTTAGATTTCAGGAGTACCCAATGTTCACTATAGCTATATAATCTGAAAGTATTTTTATATAGAAATTACACATTTTTATACCACTTGGCAACACATGTAGCTCATTTTCCCAGTTCAAAGTAGAATGATTGCAGTATACTTTAACATACTTGCTTCCAACAAGCAAAAAGAAGGTAATATTGGTTAAAGACAGTTTAGGGCAGATTAAAATATCAGACTGTAATTTAAAGCTGAAATCATCTTTCTTAAAGGAAGAGAAAAATTATTTCCCCATGACCCCTCCAAGAGTGCCTAAAAATCAAGAACTCAGGAGCTGTAATGAATGTAGTGCTGCTACACTTCTGCAGTAGTGTGCATGAAAAAAAAAACACCTAGTAAGGAGGTAATGACCTCCTGAGGCCAATATTTTGCTACACCGGTGTGACTCCATAACTGATCCTCTAGATGATCCAATTTACAAGAAAGGGGAAAAAAGCAGCACTTGGGACCAGTGTGGTCAAAGCAAAGAAGTTCTGGCAGTATGCACAGTAAGGCATATTTACAAACCACTGGTTAATTTAACCTAAGCATACAAACTGGGAACTGATATAATTGAAGAGCAGGCCAAAGATTTTTCTTATTTTCCTTGTCTCATATTTCTGTATTAATCATTTCTTTTATATTACAGAACTTGGAGAATCATCCATTTTTGCTATGAGAAAATTATTCAATACCGTTGCACCAAACATCAACTATGCATAAAAAAAAAAGAGCAAATCATGCTTTGACTAAAGATTTGGACTTTCAAAATGCTGAAAAATTTCAGGACCTGTTCCAAACTTCGCAACAACTTAGAAAATCCCACCTAAACTTACCTCTTTCTTCTCTTCTCCCACTGAACAGTTTGAAAGTTAAGCTATCAGTAGTAATTTACAAATGTAAGAGCAGGGTTACCATATTTTCAGGTCCAAAAAACAAAAAAAGGACACCTTTGGGGGAGGGGGGGGAAGGAAAGTGACATGCCAGTGCCCTGCCCCTGCGCATTCTGTTGCCCCTCATTAACAAGCCACGCATACCCCTGAGCCCTGCTGCTGCTCCTCACTCCAGACCCACTGACCCCAGCCCTGCCAGTGCCCTCCAATCCAAAGTCACAGTACCCTGCACCCCACCCCTTGCTGGTGCCCCTCTCTCCTGACCCACAGCCACACAGCACTGCTAGTGTCCTGCACACCCAACCCACAGTCACTCCTCCTGTCCCCCATGCCCCTCACTCCTGATCCACAGCCCTGTGCCCCTCTCAGCCCTGTCAGTGCCCCTCACTCCCGACCTGCAGACCCCCACCCCAGCAGCCCTGCTGCCCAAGCAGCTCCCACATTCCAGTGTTTCTCTCCACCCCAAGCAGCCAGCCCGGGAGAGCAGAAAACCCAGACATTTGCTCTTATTTTAAAAACCTGCCTGGATGCAGCACAGGGTTTCAAAAAAAGAGGACATGTCCGGGAAAACCCGGACATGTGGTAACCCTATGTAACAGGAGACTTGATGCAAGACACAGCCACTTTTATAACAGGGATCCTGGTTTTCGCTGATAAAAACAAAAACTGCCAGATATTCTGACTTAAAAAAATAAACCAAGATGCACATTTTTCTGTGATGAAAATGAAACACCACTAATAAACATATGTATTAGTAAAGTTAACAAATTTCTTGTAAAGTCGGTAAGTATATATGTATTAGTGGTGTTTCATTTTCATCATAGAAAAACGTGGATTTGGGGTAATTTTTTTAAGTCAGAAAATTTGGGAGTTGTTTCTTTTTTTTTTTTTTTTTAAAAAAAGCAGTGAAAACCGGATCCCTGCTTATGATATATATATTTGGAATATTTATACTTATAGTTTATATTTGTTCTTTAGTGTTTTAGGAAACTGGTAGTTTCTACCAAGGTCTTGTTGAAACTGGCCTCTGACTCATCTCCCCATGACCTTCCCCTGATTAGCATTCTTCCCTCTCCAATTTAGTTTCACATATACATTGCAAAGCTTTAAACCCTGAAGAATACAATAACTAGTAAACTGGACTAATTCTCTTACCCCTGATGCCATGTTATATAGTGAGAAAGCTCTGAACTGCCTTTATGTTTCCTTACGGTTGGTTATGCTGTGTAGGTTTTTCAATTGTGGAAGTCACCTCCATCTTACTGGAGGCAAGATGCAGGTGAGTATGTTACTGAAAAGTAAACAAGGGCAGGGACTTAAAAGTGTACCAGCTGCTCTGGGATAAAAACTGAGTGGGTGCCTGTTGTTAGCCTGAGATAGATTAAAGCTAACTTGCAGGAGTTTACCCTGAGTGGTAAGACGTTGTGGGATAGCTATCATTTACTGTGAAAGAAGAATAGTGTCCCAGGTTGTTAACCACAACAACTGTCAAACTCTCAAGTTCTTGCCCTTATTTACCTTGCAGTAACCTGCTAGGTTATATTTAAGTATTTATAAAATATATAGGTAATATTTAAATATCCAAAAACACTGCTCATATCCTACCATGCCTTCTGGTGGAACATCAAGCAACATGACTACATATCATATGTTCTCAAAGTCAGAAGTTACTTGGTAAAGCCATCTGGCAGATACATGCACCACATTCAGTAAAATTTGCATTATGTGATGTCCCAAAGACAAGCAACTCTGTTGATCTGAGAAAGGTCTTTAAATTAGAGATTTAATTATTTTTTTAAAGTAAGTTAACCTTCAAGACTACTACCTTCTGGGGGTATTTGTTAGACTATATCTTGCATATTTTTAAGAATAAATTAGAGATCTCATTGATTTCAAAAGGCATCAGGCAGGTTTATTTGGTTACTTACCAATCAAGATTTGACCAGTTTTCATTGCTGAACTGCCCGGAACCAAGCCATGTACTACTAACTTCTCTTCACTGATCCCCTTGATGCTTTTGTCCTGTCCTTGTTTTTCAGCTCTTCGAGTACTCCATGAGGACTGATGAACAATACCTACTAATGTCTCCAGAAGCCTGAGGTGCTCTCTTCCCCCACTGGTATAAGACAGTCTTTTTGGATTCACATAAACACACACATCTTTGTATTTTTGCTGGACCGTGACTCCCATCTTCTGAGTGGACTGGTGTTTCAGTATAGATGTTGGTCCAGATGAATGCCCATTACATCCAGTATTCCCTTTCTTACCAGAAGGCTTTGGCAAAAGGCTTTTCTTTTTTAAAATTTTGGTAAATTTCTTCAGTCTAGGTTCATACTTTCTTTCTTTTCGTGATCCCTCTTGAATAATCTCAGCTTCGTTTTCACGAAACCTGACATGGTTCACTGCATGTGCCTCAGATCTGTCCTGAATCAGAGCTTCTTCTTCATCTTCACTTAGCTCTAAATAAAACAGCTCCCCATTTTTCTGCACACTGTCCAGCCATTCAGGCTCAAGGTCACTGTGAAGGAGAGGAACACAACAAATGACAAGGCAGTACAGTATAGACAAGGCTATGTCAGCTACATTTTTTTACTTCAAGGAAGTGGGGGGTATGGAAAGGAGGGAAAAAGATGCCTCTTGGAATTGCAAAGCCTCAGTAGGCTAGTTTATAGGAAAAATAAAAGCCCTTACAGAGAAAAGACAGAGAGCCATTTCAAATCTGGAATGGTTGTCCATAGTGTCTCACTATTCAGCCACTGCAAAAGCATCATTCATGGAGGCCAGTTTCATTGAATTGTTCCTTTCACAGCCACATCTGAATAAGTAACCATATCCATAAGACTGAAAGGTTTTCTTTTCCCTCAAATAAGAACAACATCCTGATCATTCTCTCCCAAGTTTCTCTCGTATGCTTTTTGGAAAAAGAATTGTACTCCAAGCCTGTTGGAAGGCAGGATTAGAATTCACAATGATCTTGATACAATGGAAAAAAATTAACCTGAAACAACCAGAATGATTTTTTTTTAAAAAGAGAGAGACAGGTGCAAACTACTGCTCTTAAGAAGAAAAAAACCCCAAGCAAAATATAAAATGAAGATTAACTGGCTAGGCGGCAGCACCGAAGAAAGAGATCTAGGTGTTACAGTACATCACAAGCAAAGTTAAGAGTCAGAGTCAACAATGTGATACTGGTGAGGGTAAGCAAAAGGCAAATTTAATTCTGAGATACAGTAACAGGACTTAAGACAAAGGAGATAATTACCATGCACTACCTGGCACAAGAAGAATGGCAGGAGTCCAATGTGGCTGTACAAGGAGGCTAGGATGCCTCAAATGCAAAATAAAAGCAATGGAAAATGGACACATCACCAAGGAAGCTTACCAGGAAATAGCAAGAGCCTGCAGGGAAAAAAAAGTCAGGAAGGCAAAGATAAAGAATGAGAAGTACTTAGTGAGGGATGTGAAAGGCAATAAGAAGTGGTTCTTTAAGCATGTTGGCCAGAAAAGGAAGACCAAGGAAGCTGTGCATCCACTGTTAAATAGCCAAGGGGAACGCTTAACAGAAAATGCAAAGAAAGCAGAGCTACTCAGTATCTACTTTGCCTCAATCGTCACAAAAAAATTAAATTGCAGCCAGATACCCAATAAGGATTATGTAGATAAGAAAGGAGAGAAGATGAGGGATGAGGTAATGAGAGACAGTCAGAGAGCTTCTGATAGGTCTGAATGAATTCAAGTCAAAGGGTCTGGTGAACTTCCTGCCAGGGTCCTGAAAAAACTGGCAGAAGAGATTTCTAAGCCATTGGCAATGACATTTATGAAGTTGTGGGAGAAGAGCCTGGTACCAGACTGGAAAAGGGTCTGAAAAAGGCCAACATAGACACCTTTAAAAAAAAGGTAAGAAGGAGGATCTGCAAAACTGCAAACCAGTTAGCCTCACCTCAATAACCAGGAAGTTACTGCAGCATGTTCTAAAGAAAATGGAGAAGGGAAAAGCCAATCACAAGCAGTTAACGTGGATCTGCTAAGAATAAGTTACGTCAAACAAGCTTGATCTCCTTTGACACAGTAACTACTTGAGTGGATGAAGGAATGCTGTGGACATAGTGTATCTGGACTTCAGCACAGATTTTGATAAGGTCCGGCATGACCTGCTCGTAAATTGGGAAAAAAAGCGGGCTGGACAAAACTTCTATATGGTGAATAGACAATTTGATTAATAACTGCAAGCAAAGGGCAATTATAAATGGATCCATGTCAGAATGGCAGAAGGCTTCAAGTGGAGTCCTACAGGGGTCTTCCTCAGTCCAGCTGAGTTTATTATTTGGATGCTGACAGAGAAAGCTTCCTGAGCAAGTCTGCAGACAACATGAAACTGGGCAGGACTGCGAACACGTTGGAGGATTCAGAATGATATCAACAGATTGGTAAACTGGGCTGGAACTAACAGGCAGCCTTTGTAATGGTGCTACACCTTGGCAAGAATAATCAAAAGTACAAATACAAAACAGCTGAAACCTGGCTGGATGGCAGCACTACAGAGAAGGCTCTGGGTCTTGGTAGACCATAGATTCAATGAGTCTGTAGCGTGATGCAGCTTCATAAAAAGCAAATGCAATTTCAGGATCCATTAAAAGAAGCATTAGGTGCAAGACATGGGAGGTGATAGTGCCTGTCTACTCAGCACTTCTTAGGCCTCATACTTGAAGGGCTACCATAAAGAAAAGGCAGAACACCTTTTCTCTCTTGCTGCAAAGAGCAGGACTTGGACCAATGACCTGAAGTTTCAGCAAAGTAGGTTTAGTTTGTTTATCAATAAAATCTTCTTCACTGTTAGAACAGTGAAACAGACTGCCTAGGGAAGGCATAGACCTGGATGTTCCTGGCAAGAAGATCTTGCCCTTCTGCTCAGGGTCAGACCAACTTGGGGTCAGAAAAGAATTTTAACCCATGATCATAAGGCTATGGACTATGCAGTGATTGCCTTCCTCTGTAGCAGGAGACATGCCCCTCTTTCTGGGATTTCTTGAGCAGCAGTTTTGCTAATAGCTTAGCTCTACACAATGGACCTTAATGCGGCAGTTTGAATAGGGATGATCCTGTCTCAGGCAGGATACTATGTAACCTATGGAGGTTCTTCCAGCCCTACTTTTCTCTGAGTGAAGCCTAGACAGACTATTCTGCCCATTTTGGGACATCACATTTTCATAAAAATGTAGACAAACTGCAGAGTGGAGAAAAGAGGAACAATATTGATAAGAGGTTTGGAAAACATGGACTTTGAAGAAAAATGTAAAAGGTTTTGGTTTGTTAAAACTAAGTGAAGACTGAGGGAAGCAATGTTATAGTATGTTAAGGGCTTTTATAAGAGGGCAGTATTCAACTGTTCTCTATATTCACTGAGGGGAAAAAAAAAAATCAAGAATAATGTAATTTTTTCTTGCCGCATATTATGCTAATTATTAGAGAAAATAAAGGAAATGCAACAGACTTCCTAAGGTGACTGTCTATCCTGTTTTTGAAAGCCTTCAGTAAAGGAGATTCTACAAATATCTGATCTAAACACAGATCTGATCTTTATCCCATCTCAGTACAGGAGTGGACTAGATAGAGATCTTTGTCCATCCAAAGTATACAGACAAGCCATGTATAAAGCTAGAACGCACTCGCTACATGGTACTGCAGAGTTAAACTGTAACCAAAAAAAACCCCTCACATCTTCCATAGGATTTTGAGAAATCCCAGAGATTTGGGGATGACACCAATTTTGGAGCAGAGGAGTTAGGATGAGGTCTTCCCCACTGTCAGCATGAATAAGGCTTAAGGTCTACACCTAGAAAGAATACCTAGCCAAGTGGTGCTCAACATCCAGTCTGTGGAGCCATGCCATCTGGCCCAGGGGGTCACCAGAGATCCAGAAATTGCCACTGTTCCACTACTGACCAATTGACATTGTCCCTGCTCCATCACTGCCCAAAATCCAAATTGCATGGCCAGATGACATGGCCCCTTGTATACTGGATCTGGTCCTGGGCCAGCCCCATACAAATCAGTTCTGGCCTAAAGGCCAGAATGACTGTTTAGGTCAGTGGTGCCCAATGTATCAGGAACAGCGCCTAATCTGTGCCAGCACACTACAGGAATGCAATACAGAGTCATAAATACTAAGACAAGGAACCTCAACCATGTCTCTGTGTAATATTACATTGGGGAAAAAGTGGTAGAGAGAGAAGGATTTTGGAAACAGTGAAAAACAATGATTTCTGCGATCACTGTGAAAAATGGTGTTTCCCGTGATTTTGTGCAGAATCACCTCCTTCCCCCCCCCCCCCCCCCCCAAATGAAATTTTACCACAATACAAAGAAAGCACAGCAATCCCTGCAACCATAGAGCATGTGGTTTGAGAGAGAGCTACTGAGGCTAAGCTAGTGAAGTAGACTCAGCAAAGGTACCAGTCAGGAAAGCAAAAAAAATTGGAGCCACCTTTTCAGAAGCCAGATACAATGCGACAGCAGTCCTGCAGCCTGAAGTCTGAAGATGAGTGATTGGCCTCCCAGCCAATCAGCAACAAGGGGCCAATTAGTGGCGAAAGGGGGATTGCCTCAAGACCATGAAATTAGCTGCGCGCTGTAAGTGGCCCAAGAAAATCCTTTCATCTCACTGCAATTTAAATAGGTCCCTACTTATAGAAAAACACAAAAGCTTAAGGCAGTGATGGTCTATTTCTGTTTTAAAAAGCAGATAATAAAACAACAGCATAATTCACAATATAATAACCAAGTCATCTATGAAGTACAGTGAAACACTTCAACCGCTAGCCCAATTTATCTTCAATAGGTTTCTTCCCCTCCATACAAACTGAAGGCTAAAAGGCTTGCCATGCCATGCAGACAGCTTGAACCAATTTGATATGTGAAAGAATGCCAGCAAGTTATTTTTCGTCACCACCCAGAAATGTGATGATTCATTCATCCCTACTAATAGAAAAGATAATAGTATGTGTCAGTTAATGCTATAAAACAGATGTCGTTATACAGAAAAAACACAAATCAGAACACTGCTTTTGCTGTGCTGAAATGAATTCACATTCATTTCAGAATTATGACAAAGTGCATTCTGCACAAAATCATAGGAATTAGAGACAGAAAAGACTTGCTGGGCCACCAATTTATCTGTGCTTCTGTAGGTGTGTTCATTGCAGAACACCTGGTTGTTTTTTGTCTCCAGTAGAAGAAAACAAAAGTTGCCACACTTGAAAAATGAATTATAGGTCTCACTGTCAGAAAGTTGTTTTATTGTTTGTTTTTTTTAAATACTCATCCTAGGTTTTGCCTCTCTCAATTACATTCAAATACTCTTCATTATAGCCATACATACAGGCCATCTCTACATGAAAGTGTATGAAAACCAAGACTATGTTCAAAGTTATGATGATTCTTTCTAGTTGTTTCCCTGTTGAGGTGTGCACTTGATTTCCTTGACCTCCTTTCAAATCACTCTCCTGTCATTGTTTCCCACCCTAAAAGAATTATTCAGTAACATTTTCTTTAGACAATCCATGGCAAGATTTGGCCCCATGCACAACTTGTCATAAATAAAACAGATGCAACTGAATACAGACAACCAGACCCACCAGATGCAGTGGGACTATAGATATGAGCAGTGGTAGGTTTTGCCCTATAGAACTTTCTACTTGTCTAAAAAGGTACAGGACCTGTGTTATATTTAAAATAAAAAGATGCCTTATTAACTGCTTTATAAAGTGGAAAAATCTCCATAGTGCCATGGAAGTTACTAAAACAGCAGCCACACTATGTGGTTGTGCATTTACAGGGTACAGGGCAAATGCAGATGCCTACCAAAATACCCCAGTCACCTTCCTTTGCAGATGGTGAATGTATCTGAAGCAAAGCAAGAGCTTAAATAAATGTAGAATTCTACCCTTTTCTCCTTCTGATTTACTATAACAGCAAAAAGGAATAGTTCTACTACACTAGTCATAGCATGTGCCAATGCTTCAAAATACTCCTAGTGGAGTTTCCTGTTAATTTTCCTCAACAGGCATCAAAGCTGACAAAGGGAGCAAAATGTTGGGTTTTTTGTTTTTTTCATAATTAGTTTTAAGGTTATCTACACAACCAGAAAACAAGTAAACCATAAAAGAAAATAGATCTGTCTTCAAAGAGCATGCAAAGAGGTGGTTCAAATACTTCAACTTTCTTGTGTCTGCGAGGGGAAAAAAATAAATAAAAATCAACTGAAAGAATGACAAGACTGGTCTTCAAAAGAAAAAAAGATGGTCTTGTTAATTCCTATTACTGTATTCACTTGAATCCAAGACAAGATTTTTTTCTTCCCAATCAGCTCAGGGTGGGGGAGGGGGGGGAGCCTCATCTTGGATTCAAGTACAAGCCCAAAGTAGATGGCCCTGAGGTTAAACTGGAGCTGAGCTTGCACATGCAAGAAGTCATAGGCAGGGGTGCAGACAAGGGGTATGGGTCTAGCCCCTCACCCTCAACTGCTGCTTTCCCTGCCACAGCAGTTTGCAGGGGGATGGATTTAAGGCAACCTGCCACTAATTAAATCCTATACATAGAAAATTATAACAAATTTATAAACTTTCCACACATGTAAGCTAATTACTGAGGGAGTCATCTTAAATTTGAAGCAGTCTCAGATTTGGGTACATACAGTATTACAGATGTGTGTATATTGCTTAGTAAGCACTCAGAAGTACAAGCAGCCTGCTTCCAATAGGAGAGAGAATGCAAAGAGCATAAGACTGCTTGAGAGCATTAATGCTTAATACAGCAAATCTGTGTATAGAAAAACCCATCGTTGCTAAAGTACACATTTCTTGTGTGTACTTTATAAAGCAAGGTATAAGCCTAGGCTGCCCATTGACCAAACTAATTTTGTTAGTTTTAAAATTGTAACACCAAAAAAACCCTCTTAAGAAGTATGTAGTAAGGTTGGAGTATTGTTCTACCTATGATGGTCCAGAAATTCGGAAGAAGAACAGTTATTTGGATTTTTTTTTTGGTGATACCTTTTGTTGAACCAACTGTATAGTCAGAAGAAATGTTTAGACAAGTGTTGTGTTTGGGCATAGCATGCCCTTTTTAAGTTATGGGCTAAGAGACAGACATCTTTCTTCTTGCAGGAGTGATACCCAACTCATCTCAGCTCTTGTTCCAGGAAATAAACAAAGAGTCTGGTATACAAAGTTATAGTCTAATAATATTATAAGAAATATGTTAAGAATTGTCTAGCCACCAAAATATTCATTACTTTCTTTAAGAGATACACAAACCTGGCCAGCACTTGCAAATGGAAGTTTCTACAATCTGACTGAAAAATGGGATTACAGTGAGAGACTTTATACATCCTTGGTTACATGAACCCCATCCAAGATATCAAAGTTTCTTGAATATTGTAGTGATTCTCAACTGGGGTGATGTAGTGCCAAGATGCCCCAAGATCTTTTAAAGTTCAAAATCTTTATTTATTTTTTAAACATTTGGCACTGTTAGGTATGCAAGCACCTACATGCGAGTCACAAAGTAAACCTAGAAATTTCAAATAGGAATTCTGGGTTAAAGCAAATAATAAACCAACAACACAGAAAGCAACAACACCACAGACATCAGGTTTATTCCAGGCCTGAGTGATCGACTAGCATGAAAATGGGCACAAAGCAGTTGTTCACAGATACAGCTTGAAGGCAAGGCAAGTAATTTCAATGGTGGGTTGGGGGAGGAGGAAAAGAAGAAATGTTATCTTGGTATTTTACTGGGTTTTTTTTTCCCCACACAGGCCAATGCACTTGTGCATCTTTAGGCTCCCAAAATAATAGTCTTTGGTCCAGAGAAGTCTGACTTCTGTTTTTTGCCACAGTGCAGGCTAAAAGCAAACAGTGGGTTTCTCCCAGGACAAAGCCATTTATTCTAGGATTCTACATAGGGGAAGCCCACTGTTCCACTTGAAGTACCTGTGAAAAGTCCAAGATAACCCTTCTCCTCCATGGAGAAACAGGGCTAATTCCAGTTACCTGTAGTTCAAGATGCACCTAAAGCTGCAGGTGTGTCCCACTGTTTCAATGCTAGTCAAAGCCTGAAACCATAAAACCCAGGATAAACCTAAAGTCTTTTGTTGGTGTTTTTGTGTTTCCTTTCTGACAGGCTTGCCCCCAGAGCCAAAAGTGATTAATTGAATGAACCAGATTAGTTCCCCTATATGCACAGCACCAGCCTGGGGTAAAGAAATCTCAGCACTTTTCATCTCAGGCCAGAAACACATGACTGGTTCAACTGCAGGAGCCAGCACCTCTTCTCTGCCCTGACACACCCAGAAGCCCAGGGGTCGCCCTACAAGTCCTGGTGAAGGATCCCAATTACCGCTCGGCCTCTCAAACCCAGGGGCTAACAGCCACTTTAGCCCGGGGTGTAACCCACTGCCCTAACCATTTCCAGGCCAATCAAATCTCATGACTAATGAGCCCTATTAAACCGTGCGCCCTGGCCTCAGAGGTACTGACACTGGCAATGCACAGCGGGTGCACGTGTGCCCCCCAAGATCAGTGGTGCACCCCCTGAAAGAAGCCAGGCTGTCAGTGGTTGCAACCCTGACCCCGCCAATACTAGGTGGCTGCCTGCAGGACCTCCCTGCTTGCCCATGCTTCCCCAACCTCCGGGATGGGCTCGCACAGCCATAGCAGCCCAGAACGGGTACGTGAACGTCTGTTTGCAGCGCGGAGGGCAGGGCACAACCTCGGCGCCAGGAAGCGCCTCAGGACGGCCGTACCCCCGCCCCCTCGCGCTGCCCCTGGGACTAACGCACACCCCAGGGGTCGCGGAGCCGGCACGTGACGTCACGGCTCGCACTCCTCCTCCCCCTTTCCCCGCGCGCCCGGGGTGGGGCAGCCTGGCCCGCCCTTACTCGGAGAAGGACGAGGAGCAGGAGCTGCCGTCGCTCTCGGCTCTTCCCGGCGGCTTCTCCATGCCCGGCAGCCCCGCTCACTGCCAGGGCATCCCCGCGTCCCCGGCCGCCATGACACCCGCGCGCGGCTCCCACGTGACACCCCCCCCGCGCGCCTCGCGATTGGTGCCGCCCGGGCGCCATGGAGACAAGGAAGCTTGGAGCGGGAGGGCGGGGCGCGCCAGTCTTCCTCCGGCCCCGCCTCCGCGGGGTGTGACGTCATCGGGGGGAGGGAGGAGAGCAGCCCCCGCGGGGGAGAGAGGAGCGCAGCCCCTGCGAGGGGCTGATCCACTTGGGCCTCGCGTGCAGCCGCTCCTGCTGGGATGCGGGCAAGCGTGGGACTCATCAACCCCGGATTAAACCGGCCCCGAGGCCAGGGGGGTCCAAGGAGTGGCTGGACAGCCCTGCTCCCAGCCGCCTCTCTCCCCCCTGCGCTGGCACGGGTGCCCCAGGAGCCTAAAGCAGATAAATATCCCAGCTCCCATCCCCTTGGTTCTGGGGGGAAGCAGGAGTGAGGGGTGGGGATGTTTCACTTGCTTTAGGGGTGTTGGTTGTATCCGTTTGGTCCAAAACTACGCCCAAAAACACTGTCTCGGAGACTTTAAGTGCCTCAAGCAAAGGAGACGAGGTTCTTTGAATAAATCCGGTATCTTTTGTTAAACCAACTCAAATAATTGGAAAAATTCTTCTTTGCATGCTTTTTGGTATAAGCACCCTTCTTTAGAAGGTGCTGAAGAAGGGTGTTTGTACCTGAAAGCTTGCAAAGAAACTTTTTCAACTGTTTGAGTTGGTCTAATAAAAGATACCAGATTTACCCAAACAACCTTGTCTCGCTTGCTTAAGGCGCTTTAAAGAAGTCCCTGGAGGCTCCCAGCCTAAAAGCAAGGTATAGCTGTGCCGCTGCACCCCCTCTGGATCCACCCCTGCCACTGGAGAGCACTGCCTGGCGCCTGTCACAGCCCACTGGCGCACCAGGCTCTAAACCAGCTTGGTGTCTGCACCTTGCATGCTTAACACTTGGGTTAAGCTATCCATCACCATGGCAGCTCACCTCTGCCAAAGGATTTGTGAGGTTTAGTTACCTTTCAGCAGGCCTATCTACGTGAGACACTAAATGCACAGCAGACTAACTGTAGTGCACATTATCACGTCAGGCTGAAAGCCGTGTTAGTGTGCAGTAGAATTAGTCTACTGCACATTAGCATCACTAAAAAGGCATGTGCTGCTACTGAACAGTAGCACTGGTTACTACGGATAGACAGGGGTGATGCATAGGGGGTGCATGCAGGTGCACATGCACCCCCTAGCACAGCGATGCACCCCCTGCAAAAAGGCGCCACCGCCACCTGCAGGCGGTGATCGCTCACCACCCTGCTGTTGACACTGCTGGTGGCATCTGCAAGCGGTCCACAATGCCTGCTGGCTGCCGTCAACGCTGCCAGCGGCGGCTGTGACTGGTCACCGACCCATGGTTGGCACTCGCCACCTCCCCTCCCCACAACCAGCAGTGCCAGTGCCATCTGTGGGAGCTCCCCTGCTTACCGCTGCCGTGCTCCTGCCGCCGCTGCTGCACTCCCACTGCTGCCATGCCCCCCCAGCCGCAAGGGGCACGCGCCATTCATGCGCATCAAGTTACTACAGGTACTAAACTTCATGCACCAAAACTACGGCATATTAATGCATGTGTTGACGCACCCAGTGTGACTGGTGTTCAAGGCATATAATAGTGATCCTCAACCAGAGTACAGTGAGACCTTTTAATGTTGCCGCACAATGTTAGTGCTGTTAAGTGTACAAACACTCATGCACAATTCACAACATACCCAGCTTTGTGTCTGTCCTTTTACAACGTCTGATGAAATGAGCTTCAGAAAACGCGTACCTAGCTACCTACCAACTCTGGTTAGTCTATTAGGTGCAAAATCTATAAGTTGCAAAATCTACCTGCCTTCAACTGGACTAACATGGCTAACTACATCTCAAAGTAAACACAGAGCTTTCAAGTAGGAATCCCTAGCATCAAAATCCTTCTGATCTATTGGGGTCTTCCTGAGTTCTTTGTGACCAAAAAAAAATAAAAAATAAAAAATAAATAAATAAATAAAATCGCTCTATTATTTTTCCATTGTCAAAAAATTAGTGAAAGATAAGCACTGGTGATTTTCAAGGAATACCTTGAGTGTAAAAAAAGCTGAAAGCTGCTGGTGGACAGACATGACACACTGGCTCTAACATGTAGAACATTTGAGTTTAAAGACAAAAGGGGCCTTGGGCACAATCTCTGGTTTAGTCCAGATTGAAAGCAGGGAATCTTTTAAAAAGTATTAGCAAGTATTATTTGGTGCATGCTAATATCACCAATGCTGAATGCATATTTCCCACTAGAAAAAAAGTGAGACTCATTACCTGATTGAGTCACATTAATCTCTTAAAATTATTTGTCTTTATTTATCAGCATAAAAGTAGATGAAGAAGAACAAGTTAGCATAAGTTATTTAGCCTTTTAGAAGTCTAAATAAAGGTTCTGCAAGAGGCCACTGATGAAGCTAGTGTCGTGGTGCGAGAACGAAGAAATGTCATGGATGAAAAATGGTATAGAGACAGAAAGCAGAATATCATTACATGTCAATTTTCATCATAGCAAATGGCTAAGCAGTGGGGTGCCTCAAAGCTCTGTATTGTGTCCCTGTTGTATTTTTTTATTTATAATCTGGAAAAGGGGACAAGTAGCATGATAGAAAAAATTACAAATGATGAAGAGGACTGTGAGGAACTTGAGAATGCTGAACAAGCAAGAATTATAGGGCCAAAAAGGACCCCCAGGCTCTCTAACTGATTGGGCAACATAATGTTAATGAAATTCATTGTCAACACATGCAAAACAATGCACCTTAGAGGGACATTTTTAAACCATCCAAACACCTAACAGGTTCCAAATTACTTGTGTCAACTCTGAGAAGGGCCCATTGCGTCACAGTAGGCAAATCAATGGAAAGCTCTGTTATAAGCAGCTGCAATCAATAAGCCTAACAAGATGTTAGGGCACAGAAGGGGTGGATGAAGAACTGTTGGAACATTTCTAAGACACTGGAAGTGTTATTTGCTCAGCAGGGTATTTTTGCAGTTTCACACTATAGGTGTCATACTGCTGGAGTTTATGACAGGAGGCACAAAACTCTGGTGTGAAACGTCTGCCCTAAAGATCCTCTCAGGGAAAATGTTAGCTAATAAACAGATGAGTCCAAGTGAAGTGAGAGACCAAGTGTTTTGGACACATTTTTCTTAGCTGAATTACTAAGAGTTTTCAACTGGAACGGTTACAGGGATCTCAGACTAGAATTTTGTGGTGCCTCTGAAGTGGGCTCTCTGCAAGCCTCCTTGTTTTTACTCCTAAAAATAAAACCCTGTTATCTACTGAATGCAAGTGCATGGGCTTAGTCATACACACCCAGGGAAGGACACACACATATTCTCTCCTTAAAGAAGAAAAACAGGATAATTGGAAAAAGGTCTAGCAGTACTGCTCAGTTCAGCTTCAGAAGAGGACACAAAAGGAACACTATAAACTTTTCCTGTTTTATCTGACAAACATTTTACTCATTATACAAACCAAATATATTAGAGAATTCTTAAATCCAGAGCTTTGATTATTTCTATTTTAGACATGCAATTGATAATTTTAAGGCAAGGCATAAAAGCAAGATATGCATCAACTTCCTTCTTTTTATTACTTCCAGAGAAACAGAAGTAAGAACAACATTAAATACCCCAATCTCTCAAGCAATTTTCTTCCTTAAAACAAAACAGTTTACATAAACAACTGACTGTGGACTCCCACAAAGAACTTAGTATCTTGTGACGTTCTAAAAGGGATACTTTAGTGAAATGTGGATTGTAATAGAAAGATGGAAATGCAATATATATAATCCCTCCCTCCCTAATTTCATTTATATTTTCTAGCACCTCTAACATAGTGAACAGTACACAAAAATGTTCCTGTACAGGAGTGATAGTCTATGCCAGATGGGCCTGTTAGTTAAATTTCACTGTGTTGAAGAGTTACTTAATTATTTCCAGTTGTTAGTTCCATCAGTGATAAATGTAGCCTGCCTCAAAAGAGGGCAAGAGCCTATACTACTAACTCTTTTAATAGGGATAACCATTTTGCCAAAAAAAGGGCCATGGAACATGTCTACTGAAAGGTGGTGGGGAATCTCCTAAGTATGTTTTCTGAAATTATTTGGAGATTTTTTTGCTGCTGTGGGAACTATTAAAGAATGAAAGGCACAGTGCCTCTCACAGCAGGATTTTATTTTAATAAAGACAGCTTTTCCCACAAGAACCCTCTTGAAGAGAAAAGCTTCACCCTTTCTCATGTAGAAACATTAAAAGCAGATTTGAAATAATTAGTCTTATGGAAGACCCTTTGTATTTAGCACAATTGGTTGGACTGGTCCTCCTGATTTGGAGCAGTGAACCTTCGCTACTGTATTGATGGCATTAGCAAGGAGGAAGCAGGCATACAGCCAGATAGGAATTGCCATTATATAATTAGCACTGATATTCTAATTAGCTCCTATTGGGCAACTGATCAATAAAAATATTACATATGATTGTAACCAGTTATCTGTTGTTTTGCCCAAGGGCCTACCTAAATTTGTGGTTGTTCATGATTGACTCCATGTGTAGACATTAATGCTGGAACAAGCGAGTGCATTGTTCTTATTCAGCTAAATCCACTTTGAAAGCCATTGTCTTAATTTTGACACCCTACCGTACTCAAAATTAGCTTCCTAAGTCTCAAAAAAACCTTAATTGAAAATTTAAACTGTTACTGTTAAGTATTACTTTCTCCAACATTATTCAACAGGAAATCAACTGTGTTAATACAATGTTGCAAGGGTAAGTCTGGTGTTTGCAAATGATGTGATCTCTCTTGTGATAGTGTATTGGACTGGGGCAGAATGATTGTTTAGATATATAGATGTGTTACAAACATGGAAATGCCCTTACTTTGAACTAACACGTTCTGATCTGGCTAGTGTATATGGACTGACCGTCTTAGCACCTTACTAGGAACCATGATTAAATATA